TCTGGGGCAAGGGCTCTGGAGCCTCTAGAGGCCCCCCGTCGCTTGGCCCGACGCTTCCGAGAGTTTCGGCCGACGAGATCAGGGAAGTCTCCAAGAAGTACAAGAGGGGTTCTGCGGTGGCCTACGATGGCTTTAGTTGTCGTCACTTCCAGTACTTGTGTGATGATGCGTTGAACTCGCTCGCCGTCTTGTTTGAAGTTATGGAAGCGCTCGGCGAGTTGCCCGAGCAGATTTCTGCCGTGCTGCTCGCGCTTCTCTCGAAGCCCACTGGTGGCTACAGGCCTATAGGGGTGTTCTGCTCCTGGCACAGGGTGTGGGGGAAGCTGCGGCGCCCCTTCGCCCTCGCCTGGGAGCAAGAGCACCCCCGTAGGTACTGGGCTGCTGGTGGGCATCGAGGTGCTGCTGACGTTGTTTGGAGGCAGTCTGTTCGGGCTGAGCACGGCACTGCGTCGAATGAGGTTTCGTGTAGTGTGTGTTTTCGATATGCTTAAGTACTACGAGACCATTGACCTTGCCAAGTTGATGTCCCAATGTCAGCGACACGGTTTTCCCTCCCCGATTGCGCGCCTTTGCATCTTTGCCTTTCGGTGTGGCCGTTTCCTGTCCCTGGGTGGCATCCTTATGGGCCCCTTTTGTGTCGAGCGAGGCGTGGTGGCGGGCTGCAGCTTCGCCGCCACCCTCATCAGGGTCTTTGCCCTCGACGCGTTCGACTCCATTCCCCTGTCCCCCAGATGTGACCTGGACATTTACATCGACGATTCTGGGATTTCTGCGACGGGCCCTCGTCACCGAGTTATTGCCTCCATTGTCGCCAGCTCGCAGGCCTTGCACACGGCTGTGACCGACATGCTTGGCTGCAGTTTCGCCCTGTCCAAAGTGTGCACGGTCTCCTCCAATAGGGCGGTGGCCAGAGAGGTTGGCAAGCAGCTCGGCAGTCTGGCAGGTAGGATCGAGGATGTCACAGTCAACTTAGGTGTGGACTACACGGCGGGCAAGTCCATTCGTGCCTCAGGTCGGGCTAGCAAGCTCAAGTCGAGGCTGGTTACCATGTGCCGTCGAGCCAAGAGGCTCAAGAGGCTTTCAGGTGATCTTGGGAGAAAAACTCTGCGGGTGTTTTCCTCGGGCCCTCTTGCGGGAGGCTCCTATGGGGCTGACATTGTGGGTGTTTCTGACCACGATCTTTTATTGATGCGGAGGCAAGCTTTCTCGACTGTGCGGCCGTTTTCTCAGGGCAGGAGTCTCACTGCTTGCTGTATTTTAGCTGGAGATCCCACCTGGAGGGCGGCCTGCGCGCCTGTGCTTAGGTGGGGAAAAGAAATATGGCTTGCTCAGACTAAGGTCTTCCCGCACTCCCTGGCCCTCAAGGAGCTTAGAGGTTCTTGGAATGCCGTCTGGGGCCTTAGCAGGATCAGTTTGGGTCTCGTTGGGGGTCCTGTCTCTGCCCTCAGGCTTTGCCTGGTCAGGTTAGGGTGGCATATGGACAATTTCATGACCATTATTGATGACAGAGGGTACCACATCCCCCTTGGTGTGACCTCCCCTGCCCTCTTGTGTATTTTTTGTCGGGAAGGTATGATCAGAGCTCTGGAGAGGGATTTGGGCGGCAAATGGGCGTCTGGAGGCCGCCTCTGCTTGGATGTCCCCCGTGCTGCTCTGGCGTCTAGCAAGTTTACTCCCAGTGAAAAGGTATGATTCGTGCTCTGGCGTGTAACGCCATCTGGACTCCTGATCGTGCCATTGCCTGTGGATATAGAGTTTGTTCTAAGTGCATCCATTGCGGTGAGGCTGACTCGCTACACCATCGGCTGTGGGCATGCCCGCATGTGAGCGATCTGAGAGAGGAGCTTGCTAAGGACTGGATCATTGCTGCCGCCCGTGACACTGAGGCTGAGGACTACTCGGACCTCCTTTTCTGCTTCGGGGCTTTCGCCCATCCCGCCGATACCCTTCCGAGGCCTTGCCTCGAAGGCAATGTGGTGTTCCGCTGGCATCGTGATCTGCTCGAGGGCCCCAAAGGCTTCGAGGCTCCCCAGGAAGGTGCTGTCTGGGGGTCGCTGTTTCTCGACGGGTCTTGCAAGCGGCACATAATTCGTGAACTCAGCCGTGCGTCGTGGGCCATCACGATGCACAATGACAGCGGGGACCTTTTAGGTGAGGTTATGGGGCCTGTGTGGGCTCAATACCCTCAGACCCCGCAGGCTGGTGAATACTTAGCGCGTGGCATGGCTGGTAATATGGCCAAGTACCCTTCCACCCTGTTCTCTGACTGTTTGAACGTGGTCAAGCATTCTAAGTTGCCTCCTGGCGATCGCCTCTCGGGTAAGAGGGTGTACAGTGGCATAATCGTGGAAGCCAATGCTCGAGAAGGCACGTGCATTCAGGATATTGTTAAGGTTTCTGCTCACAAAGATTTAGATGAAGCTGGCATCGACCAGTTCGAAAGGTTTTGTCGCAAATGCAATAATGATGCTGACGCGGCGGCCAAAGCCGCGCTGTCGTTTCACGCGACAGATATTAATGAGAGTGAAGATCCCAGCAAGAAGATTGACATTGCTAAAGCAGTGTGTCGTCTAGGGGCCAAGCTTCTCTTAGAGTGGCCCCGACTGGATTTATCTGATGCCGTTTATGTTCCGCCTGCCCCCAAGCCCAGGTTTTCCTGGGACAGGCCTGGGCACGACTGGGCCCATTGGTCCGGTGTGTGGCGCTGTAGAGTTTGTCTGTTGGGTTCCAGGGAATCTGGCGTCCCTGAACCTGGCATATGCTCTGGCAGGTGCAAGCTTGATGAAGGTGTGCTGGTGTCACTGCGGCATCGTGTTTTGGCCTTCTCCTGCAGTGACGGTTCACATCTTTTTGTGTGTGTGAAATGCCGCTACCACAGCACAGGTGCTCGTGTGGACGGCCTAGGGAAGTGTTGTAAGGATCGGCCCTCCAGGAACGCCGAGTATTCTTGGAGGCACCTCTGTCGAGGAGTGCACCCGAACCCCAGGAAGCGGGATGTGACGGTGAATACTCACCAGATCTGTGCTCTGTTTGGTTCTCAGGCCGAGGAGGCTTCCTCGTGCTGCAGGGCCGTGGAGGCCCCAGCTGGGTACCACATGGCGGAGGAGGAGGAGGTCCCCCCTTCCTCGGTCGAGCCTCTCCCCCCCTCGGTGGAGGAGGTCTGTCAGGCCCGTCAGGCCCGAGAGCTCAGCGTCTCCTCTCAGTCCCTCCGCCGTCTCCAAGCCGCTCGGGGTGGCGGTGAGGAAAGGAGGGACTTGGATGCTGACTCGGGTTCTTCTGACTAATTTTATCCTGCCACCTTTGTGGCTCACCTCCTTGCCTCAGTGGCATGGAGGACGCAGCAGCGATTTCCCAGCCGTCGCTGCTGACAGGAGAGGCTGTGCGGGCGTTGAGCTCAAAAAAAAGCGGGGTTCCACGCAGATCCGGGAACGTCGCGCGGACCTCCAAAAGCATATGTCCACGCATGCGGTTCCCTGTTCCTCTACCAGAGTCTGAACCGCATCGCCATCGGAGCAGCGGCCGAGACCACGGCCAATATGCTGAAACGAGGACCACCTTGGGCCCAGGCGGGGATCTGGTGTCAGGTCGTGGGATCTATCCGTGGCCGAGGCTTGCGGGAGGGTTCATCAGTCGGCGTTCTTGACTTTGGATGGGGCAATGATCGCCCACCCTTGGACCCCCAAGGGGGCGGAAGCACGTGCTGCTCGAGCTGGAGCGGGTGGAAGGGGGTTGGAGGAGGAGGAGGAGGAGGAGGAGGAGGAGGAGGAGGAGGAGGAGGAAGAGGAGGAGGAGGAGGAGGAGGAGTAGGAGGGGGAGGGGCAAGCTCCGTGGAAGGGTCAATTCCCCCCCATACATGCCCGATGATCCCGAGTGTGGCAGCACGATGGCTGTGCACCAAGGCCTCCCGTCGCAAAGGCGTGGGGGCCAGGGGGCGCGACCCCCACGACCCGACGTCACGGGAAGGCGTCATCATATCTCTTTCGGCGGCGAGCCCCCGGCAGGACGTGGGAGGGAGCGGGTTGTCTCCTCGGCAGGCTCGGAAGTCCCACGGCGTTCTGAGAAGTTTCCAGAGCCTCCCCCGATGACGCCGAAAATTTCAGAAGCCCGGATTGCTTCTAAGGTTTCCCGCCGCCTTCTAAGAAGACGTTCTCTTTCTCAATTCCTTCCTTCGCTTGCCGACGACTCTTGTGTGTTCCTCCACGGTACTAGAGCTCCGAGCAGAGGTTGCAAGCCCTTCGATGATGTTCAAAAGATTGGGGGCTTTTTTCCTTGTTCAGAATTGACGTTGGTCTCTCCCGTTGGGGGTTCGTTCTTGTTTTGCCCGTTGTTGGCATTATCCTTCGTGCCGTCGTCGGTTCGGTTCCGTGCTGTTTTGCAATGGGGTTTGTCTGTTTTGGGCTGCCGCTGTTGTTTCCGTTGGGGCTGGCCGAAACCGAAAAGTTACAAACATTAGAAGATGATCCACGCGTTTTAAACCTCAACTCAGTGCGAGCCCCCTGAGAGGCCACGCCGCTCACCTCCGCTCGGGGTCTCCGCCCGCACCAGGCCCCTGCTCGCCGGGTGTGTGCCTGCGTCCTCGTGGTCGTTCTCGTGCTCCTCCTGGTCGATCTCCGCCTCCCCCTCCTCCTCCTCCTCCTCCTCCTCCTTCTATTCTCCTCCTCCCCCTCCTCATCGCTCGCCTCCTCCCGATCCCATCCTCCTCATCCTCATCGCTCTCCCTCCTCCCCGCTATCATCCTCTTTCTCCAAATCCCCCTGCCTCTCCTCTTGCTCCTCGTCCTTCGTGGCCTCGTCCTCCTGCTCGTCGTCCTCATCTCCCTCCTCGTGCTTCCTGTTGATGTCCTGAGATCAGCGGGTTACGGGCCGGACGCATCGACCAGTCTTGCGTCTAAATGTTTGTTTGTTTCTTTTTTCTGAGTCGTCGACGATTGGAGCAGGTTGTGTTGCCTCTTACCTGCGCTGCGAAACCGCGAGCTAGTGTGAGCAAACAGTGGCGAGCAGGCTACCTTGTGGTTTGCTTCAGTGGCAGGTGGCATACTTGTTATTTTCGCCCATCTCATGATCGCAGTAGTCTTTCAACATTGTGCACTCGACGAGGTGTCTGTAGAAGAATTGAGGCGTGCAGCGCTTTCTACGCTGACACACAGCGACGCATTGTGTCTCGTACGGTACGCTGAGAATGCGCAAGAGAGTCAAGAGATGTTGTTGATGTAGTGGTCGGGCGCAAGGGGAGGGTGTTGCGGCGCATCTCACACGAACTCAACACAGATATTTAGACGGGGCATGGGAATGCAATAGTGATTCGCTCTGCCACGCAGGAGAGTACATTTGCGCACAAGATTGTCCGCACCGTTCTGCACAAACTCACGAGCGCATCAGGGATTAGGGAGTCAAGTGCGCTGCACAATAACTCAAGCGAAGCTTGCCCACGAGAGGACTCAGCACCGCCAACGAAGCACACTCACATGAGCACAAGGACGATCTCGCGTGGCCACACCATGCGCGTACCTGTGTGGTGTCGTTCCCCCCTGCAATAACAGTCCATGATGGCTAAAACCAAGACAACAGCAAGGCTTGGAATGCACCCAGATGCCAGCGGCAAGTCCCACCACCGTGCCAGTCCAGCATTTTCGGTGGCGACTGCTCGCGGTGGCACGAGAGGCCGTCACATGTGCACATGTGACACCCCGTGTCTCCAGGTTTGGCAGAAACGTGATGACCATTGTGGTGTGAATGGTGATGACGGCGACGGTGGCGACGATCATGATGATGGCGATGGTGATGGTGATGGTGATGGTGATAGTGATGATGTTGATGATGATGATGCTGATGGTGATGCTGATGCTGATGCTGATGTTGATGCTGATGATGCTGATTGTGTTGGTAGTGTTGCTGCTGCTGATGTGGATGTGGATGCTGTCGATGTCGACGATGCTGCTGATCCTGATGATACTGATAAGTATGATGATGCTGATGACGGTGATATCGATGAGGATGCTGGTCATGATGGCAATGACGATGCTGATGATCATGATGATGGTGCTTTTGGTGATGATGATGATGATGATGGTGATGATGATGATGATGATGATGATGATGATGATGGTGATGCTGATCATGCGGCTGCTGGTGTTGATGATGATGATGTTGATGATTATCATGATGATGATGATGATGATGATGATGATGATGATGATGATGATCATGATCATGATCATGATCATGATCATGATCATGATCATGATGATCATGATGATCATGATTATCATGATGATCATGATAAAGAGGAGGAGGAGGAGGAGGAGGAGGAGGAGGAGGAGCAGGACACCGACGAAGACGACGACGGCGACATTGACGACGACGACGCTGACTAGGACGATGACGAAGGCGAAGACGCAGACGAGGATAATGACGAGGACGAGGACTAGGGTGAGGACGACGATGAGGAAGAGCAGGGGGATGCGGCACATGTGACACCTTTCAACTTCACTATTCTGGGACTCATAGATCTCGTTTGGGCAGTGTTGGGGCTGCCGCCGCCTCCTGTAAGGCAGTCATGGTGGTCACTTGGGGCCCTCTTGGGCCGTCGTGGAACCCTCTTGCCCATACGGTGGGTGGCGGGGGTTAGTCGTGGGGCCGCCGTGGCTCAGTCGTGGGGCCCTCTTGGCCATATGGTGGGTGTGTGGAGATCGCCGTGGGACCGTCATGGCGTCGTCTTGGGCAGTCGACGGGCTTTCTGAGGCCGTCGTGTGTCCCACGGGAGGCCCTCCTGGGCCGGTTCGGGGCCGCGGTGAATGCCCTTTGGGTCCTTGCGGGGTCCTTTTGGGCCACCTTTGGTCCCTCGTGGGGGCCCCTTGAGGCCATCGTGAAGGCGTCTTGGGGCATTCTTGAAGGCTTCTTGGGCTCGTGGGGGGCCCTTGGGGCCATCGTGAATGCTTCTTGGGAAAAGACGAGACTCCGATCATCATGAGCCACCCAACAAAGGTGAATCACTGAGTTGGCTTGTGCCGGGCCCTATTGGAGGTGGGCCCTCTTAGAGGCATCGTCGGCCGTCTTGAGGCCAGAGTGGCTTCCCTTGGGGCCATCTTGGCCAGTCTCCTAGCGGCGTGGGCCATCTTGGTGTCCTTGATTGCCTGCATGGGCCGTCTTGGATGCTCGGGACGCGGATCCGTCGTGGTTAACGAGGGAGTGTGGCCTCGGGAGCGCGGACCCATGGTTTTTGTGAGGAGTGATTGTAGCCTCGGGAGGGGGGGAGATGCATGCACCAGTTTGTGAAGGGGGGCGCTTATTGGAGGAACCCACAAACCTACAACTCAGCATCTGACATCCTAACGCACCCACATCGTGCAGGCACGGGGATATATATATTATATATATATATATATATACATATATATATATATATATAATATATATGTATATATATATATATATTATATATATATATATATATCCCGGGGGAGCAGGCCCGGGCCCCGAAAAAAGGCGCCTCGACCCTCCATGGGGGTACCGGGGCTCATTTTCCCTGTGTTTTTACAGGGTTTCCGCGTCCCGGGCTCCAGAGGCCGCAGGGGCTGCTGAAAGAGGCCCAAGGCTGTTCTGCAGATGGTTCCAATAGGCCTAAGGACAATTTCAGAGCGCTCCAAGAGGGTCCCAAAACGGCTCCAACAGGGGTGCTCGACGGAGCTGAAGCCCTCACTTGAGCAGCGATTTTGCACCATTTTCCTTCTGTTTTTTTACACCGTTTCCGCGCCCGGAGCCCTCGAGGGCGCAGCCTACGCGGAATGAGTTCCAATCACAGGTTCCACCTGGCCCCAGGACAACCTCACAAGGCCCCAAGAGGGTCCCAAAACGGCTCCAGCAGGGGTGCCCGACGGAGCTGAAGCCCTCACTTGAGCAGCGATTTTGCATTATTTTCCTTGCGTTTTCACCGGGTTTCCGCGTCCGGAGTCCTCCAGGGCGCAGCCTACGGAACCATCTGCAGAACAGCCCTGGGCCTCTGCTGGATGCCGCCCTCCTTTTCTTCCCCTCCTCCTCCTCACCTGCGTCGTGCACCTCCTCCTCGTCGTCCTCCTCGCGCCCCCCTCGCCCCGATGCCGATCGCGTTCCGGAGGAGTCTTGCCGGAACGCGGTCGGCAAGGGCGCCATCCAAAACACCGCGCTCCCGGAGGGGAGCAGGAGGAGGAGGAGGTGGAGGAGGCCGGGTGCCCCAGGACAGGTGCCCCGACCCTCCATGGGGGGACCGGGGCTCATTTTCCCCGTGGTTTTACAGGGCGCCCGCGCCCTGGGCCTCGGAGGCCGCCGCCTCCGACCCCCCATGGGAGGACGGGGCGGCCGGGGAAGTCCGAAATAGTCCAGGAGGGCCTCCAGAGGCTCCCAAGATGGCCCAAGCGGGCCCCGAGTCGCCGAAAGACCGCTCCAGGACGCCCAAGATAGGCCCGAGACGGCCCGAGAGGCCCCCCAAGGCACTCCACGACGCGTCAAGACGCCTCTGCAGAGCGCTTCCAGAGGCCGAAATCGTCAATTGTACGAAGGTTTTCGGACCACTTTGGCTTTCCAGCCATTTCGGCTGTCCGACGTTCCAAGACGGCTCAATAGGCCCCCAAGGGCGCCCCAAGACGGCCCAAGAGGGCTCCAAGACGGCCCCAGAGTCGCCCAAGACAGCCCAACAGAGCCCCAAGACGGCCCCAAGATGCGCCCAAGAGGGGGACCACGACTCCAAAATTCGACCCTCCCGCTTGAAGAGTGCCCAAGGAGCCCCCAAGGAGCCCCCAAGAGGCCGATGCTCCAAGACGGCCAAAGAGGCTTCCAATACCGCTCCCATATAGAGGAAGAGGCCTCCAAGAAATCCCCAAGACGGCCCGCGAGGGCCCCAAGACGGTGCTTGAGGCGCCCAAGACGGCCCGAGAGGGCCCCAAGAGCCCCAAGAGAGGCCCAAGAAGGGGAACGCGACCCAGCAGCAGAGCGGTCCCCCCAAAAGGCCCACAGGACGCCGCAAGAGGCCCCCAAGTGGTCCGACGAGGACCCCAAAAGCTTCCCGAGAGCCTAAAAGGCCCCTATGAGACGTCCAAGAGGGTTTAAGATAGCCCAGGAGTGCCCTCGATGCGTCAAAACTGTTTCCAGGAGGCCCCCGGGAGGCTTCCGGATTGCCTCAATCTGACCGCAGGTGGCCTCAAGTCGGGCTTCCACGCAGCCAAGACGGCCATTGAAAGCTTCAGATTGCAGAGCCGATGCCCCCAAGGGACCTTCAGACGCCCCCCCAAGAAGCACCCAAGAGGTGCCTCCATCAGCCGGTTGACGAAGCATGCGGAACACCCCAGAAGCTCCTCAGATGCCGTCGCGCGCTTGTGCTTGATATCGTTGTCCAAGATCGTCCAGCGCCTCCCTGGCCTGGGCTAGAACCTGAGCGCGCGCGAAGCGCGCGCGATGGTTCTAGCCCAAGGGCCCGAAAACAGCTGCCCGACCCTCCAGTACCGGGGCTCATTTTCGCTGTGCTTTTACGCGATTCCGGCGTCCCGGGCCTCGAAGGCCGCCGCGATGCCCCCGGACATTTTCCAGATCCTTGGCGCGGGCTCCAAGACCATTCCGCAGAGGGCTCCAACAGGCTCCAGGGCAGCCCAAGAGGGCTCCAAGACGGCTCCAGGAACGACTGAAGGGTCTCAGTTTTTTTGTGTTTTCTGCAAGACGGTTCCAGGAAGACTGCATGTCTTATGAGGATGGCTTCCGCCTCTTGCCCCGAGCATCCCAAACTGCCTGAACGGTCTCCACTCGCCTTCCCCAAACCCAGCGCTTGCCCAAGCGCGTTCCGGACGGTCTTCGCCGGAACGCGCTGGAATGATCACGCGCTGCGGTTTCCCATGCCAACGTCCTCGGACGTGGGCGCCCTGCCACGAGCGCGTTCCGGGAAGATGCTCCCGGAACGCGCTGAAAAGATATGGCCACATCTCGGGGACGCTCCTGGCACCGCTGCCCCAGCCTTTCCGGGCAGCCTCCACAGCGCTCCAGGAGGGCCCAAGACGCCCCCCAGGAGCCCCCAGAATGCGAAAGGATGGCCCAAGACGCTCCCGAGCAGCCCAAGTCAGCCTTCCGACGGCTCTCGAGGCTTCCAGGTGGCCTCCAAGAGACCCCAAGAAGTCTGATAGGTATCACGGTACGGCCCGAAGAGGCCAAAGTCGTATATGTTCAATGGTCTTTTCAATGTTTTTGGCTTCTCGCGTTTTCGAGCTTCCAACGGTCCAAGAGCGCCGAAGAGCCGCCATGGGGGTACCGGGGCTCATTTTCCGTGTGGTTTTACAGGGTTTCCGCGTCCTGGGCCTCTGAGGCCGCCGCCTCCGACCCCCCATGGGAGGACGGGGCGGCCGGGGAGGTCCGAAATAGTCCAGGAGGGCCTCCAGAGGCTCCCAAGATGGCCCAAGCGGGCCCCGAGTCGCCGAAAGACCGCTCCAGGACGCCCAAGATAGGCCCAAGACG